TTCAAGGCATGTATAAACTCTGAAAACCCTCGCTCTATAGCTTACTCTGGAATATCAGGAGCAGTTACCTCTTTGCTGTTCCTGCCATCTCAGCAAAAAGGGAGCTCAGTGGCTGGAGATGCCACAAGCTCCCAAAGGCGGTAATTGATTTATTGATTGACTGAAAGAGATTGATTCTGCAAAGCTGCCAGATTGTTTCCCTTTCACTGGTGCTGAAGGCGCCTGCACACAGTGTTTGGGGAGACTGGAGTTTTCCGAGGCATCACTTACTGAAGTAATTTCAGTGGTTTGAAAAAGTAAGACCTCAAAGTCACAACTAAACACGGCAGTGAGGCCCCATCCCTGAGGTGCCCTTTGCCCAGGCCTGGAGTAGCAGCATTTTTATTCGCATTTGCTCTTACCTGCCATTGTCCGGGAGCACTGGGGAGCTTCTCTCCTGAGAATCTGGTATGGCCTGAGAACTCAAAGGAGAAATGTGCTAGTGAGAAACACCAGGAATAGGTGCGAGGAGAATCGCTGTTGCGGGAAATGTACCGCTGTGTGTGTTTGCACACACAGTCACGCACAGGCTGGCACTGGCCAAGCACGACCTGCCGGGATGGGCCGGGCCGTCAGCGTTCCCTGGGAGCGGGAAGGGTGCCTCCGGCTTTCGGCCCTGGCCCTGGAGCGGGAATTCGCCGCCGGCCCGGCACTGGACGGCCGCGGCACGGCCATCGCGCCGCTCCCGGTCTCCTGCCGTCCTCTGGAAAGTGTTTTGGGAGCGGCCCCCGGATCCCCGGCCCCAGAGCAAGCTGGGGTGCCCTCACCTGCTCCTCGGGGCCCGGCGCACACCTGCGGCGGAGCTGGGAGCGGCTCTTCCCGGCGGCCCCGCTGCCTGGCCCCTGGGGCAACGCCAGCGCGGGGCGGGATCGGCGCCGCCCGCGGCTCCAGCTGTTTTTTCTCTCTGCATCTGGTTTCTGTCAGCTTCATTTGATACCCCTTAGTTCTAGTTTTTGTACTTTGAGTGACAGTGAAGAACTAGTCCGTACTCTTCCCCTCTGCCCGCTCTCTTGATTTTGTGGACTTGCATTGTGTGCCGGCTGTATCACCTCTTTTCTGAACTGTTCTTCAGGGCGGATCTTTGTTCAGAAACTGCTCTGCACTTCCAGTCCTTCCTAGTGCTCTTTTCTGTCCTTTTCCTGCTGTGTCATTTCTTGAAACGAGGGAACCAGCTCTGCATATAGTTTTCATGCTATAGACATGCCTTGGATTTCTCCAGTGGTATAATGATTTTATACTTTGTGGTCTTAATAATTCCTATTGTAAAATTTGCTTTTTTTTGACTGCTGCAGAGTGTTGAGCTGAATGTCTGTCTGGAATTATCTGACATAAGATTTTACTCCTGTGTGGTGGTAGTCATCTCAGAGCTCTTTATTTTAAAAGTGAGGTCAAGTTGATTGGCTTGTCTCCCACAAGTATCTCTTAAGATTCACAGAGTCTGAAAATAATTTTTACTTGTCTAGCCTCCTGAGGAGCATTGAGAACACTGTGCTGGTCTTAATTCCCATATAGGTTAGAAACAACCCTTATGATTTATGAATGACTCACCTATAGGAGGAATTTGGCACATGTTGGTAGCTTAAATACTATTCTTCAGATATATTCAAGGTACACTTCTCTACTGTTACCTAAAATACTTTTACTCTTGATTTGTAACCCCAAACCCTCTAGTGAAGATGAATAACTTTGTTTTTTTCTCTGAAAAACTAACCAAGGAAAGTTGCTTTTATTGGGGCAGGTGTTGGACACGTAAATGAGGAGGGCAGAGACACCTCTTTTTTTAGGCGGCTGCAATATTTGTGCACTTATTGTCCACTGATTTAGGAAGTTCATGATCTGGACTTAATTCTGCCTTCAGCTTCAGGGAAACCAACCACCCATTCTTAAAGAGTGACCTCCACATCAAACTGCAGGTTGTTTATTCTGGAGTGGGCACATCATCAGTTCTTATTGAAGGCATTTCAGTGCAGAAAAATGTCTTGGGTTTCGATGAAGGAAAAGAGAGAATGCAGGCATGATTTTATTACTTAGGCACTGGGATGACCTTGGAACATCAAGGCTCCAGTCTTTGTGTCAAGCATTGCTGAAAACTTTAACATGCAGCAGCAGTTGGTTGCATACACAGCTCCTGCTGTGCTGTAGAAGAAACACCCATGCCTTCTTTACCTAAGATTAGGCATCAACTGGGTGAAAGTTTTTAAGGTAGCAGGAGCTCATTTTTGCCTGTCATTTATGTGATTTTAAGCCTGTATTTTTTAATTTATTATTAATTTTTATTAAATATCTGGCCTAGAAAGAAAATAATTTGTTTTGTCACAGTTCCCTCTGAGAACTCATTCATACCTACTGCAGGGAAACACAGTTAGCATTAACTGAAGGAAAAGAGAAAGTTCTCATAAGCAGGAAGTTGTGGTTCATGTCAAGGTAAACACTTAAACTGTAAACTAAGCAACTGTCCCTGGAAATCACAAGCAAGTGTCCTTAATTTAGGAATTTTCTTTGGATATTAACCTTACCTTTTTCACTTTTTTTTTTTTTACGATATGCTTTAGTTCCCAGGTCAGATGATTCTATTGCTATGTTTCCAGTGGTGTTGTACTAGATGTCTTCTGTAGGCTTGGAGTTTGGTCAGATGAATTAACCTTACGTGACAAAGCAAGCCTGAGATATGAAAAATAAAGGCAAACAAAGCACCCAAGAAAATAGAAAGTATGAGAAAGGCAGCAAAGTAGCCCTAGCAAGATGATAATCCATTACAGAGAGATTTATAGCAAAATGGGACTCAAGAGTTTGATGTGGGCCTAGATGGTTTTCTAAGGCAAAAACATGCCAAGTACTGATCAAGAAAATCCCTCCCCTCTCTTCAATGCTAGTGGAAGGAGACCCACCACTTGGCTTACGGCAGATATCTGGCAGCACTAGGTGATTACAGGGAGATGAATGCTATCCTCCCCTCTTAGAATACTTGGACTCCCACAGCCTTTCAAGCCATAGCTATTGTTAGGGGTATGTAAAAGATTATCTGAATACCTAAAACCAAGTACTTTTTTTTACATTCTCTTATAATATCTTGCAAGCATTTAAATAAAAATTATGAGTTGATTATAGGAGAAAGATAAGAAAATCCTGCATTTCAAACACATCT